GATACGAAGATGTTGGAGACACACTATAGATAATTATGATTTATATATAAAATTATATAATTTATTACAAATATAGTGATAATGATATATTATTCATAAAAAAAAATAGTATTTTATGATAAGTAAATGTTATATCTAGTCATCTAGTGTGAATTGATTACCATCATAATTGTAAAAAATTATCACTTTTTTTTGTAGACGTATATCAAGCATATATAATTTAAATGATTGCACTCATTTTCTCAATTGTTGTTTTTTAAATATTTTATGTATCTTTTGAGTTTCTTATTATATTTTGAGTACAACTTTGACATGTCTAGTTTCGGTAATTATATCTTTTCTCATAGTACATAGTATTTAGTAGTTAAATTTTTAATCTCTGTTAACCACATGTTTATTGTTTTGGTAGAAGACACGGTTTAAAGAGGTGTTGGACACATCACCAAAGAAATGTCGGACACGTGTCCGAAATTAAAATTTTATCATTTAATTATGAACACAAATAAAAGAATAAAGGACACGTGTCCGACATGGATACGTCACCTTCTTGAGAGTGTTCGTGCTTCACAAACCAGAACCAACCATGCTTTCAAATTGTAACAAATTTCCATTCAAGAATAACTGCATTAATTAATTCTATCAATTTTGTACGGCACGCAATCTAAACTTTCTAAGGCTAACGTATTAAATGGATGTAGGACATTGAAGTTTATTTTAAAAACTAATTTATGCCCGGAAGCATTCTTAATTAATTCTGTTTGTAAGGTCCTATCAACATTTTTATCAGGTTCGGCCAATAGGTTTTCAGGTACTTTAATACACTCGTCTTTATTTTAAAGGGAAAGTGATTCAATTAAAGTCAACAGGGCATCAGCGTACTTTGATATGAGTCAGTATTAATGTAAGATGACAAGGAGAGAACCCTGATCACTCTCTTTCATCTGCAGAATTTCTATTTCTCAGTTTTCTTCATTTCTCTTCTTTCTTTCTCCCAGAGTTTGCATACACTAAATTAAATTGTGTTCAAGTTTATTATCATTGGTTCTTTGTTCTTGCGACAGATCTCTTCTGAGGATATACAATGGGATGGTGGAGACCCTGGAATTTCTCGTCAAGGAGGTTATGGCGGATCAGGCCGTGGGGTGAATAGATCTGTTGGGCGTGATAGTGTTCCAGGTGCAGGAAGAGGTAGGGGGGTGACAAAAGGTCAATCCAGAAAGGGTATTCCACCATCACAAAATGGCATGGGTAAAAAGGGGTCAGATGATATTCAGCTACTTCATACTGATACTCTAATTAAGGAGGTAAGGAAGAGCAACTTGAGGAATATCAGTATTTGTACATTCTGATTGCCATACGGTTTCTCATTGTCTTGGGAATTTGGACAGGTGGAGAGGTTATTTGGTGCTAGTCATGCGGACCCTCTTGAAATCGAGAAAGCAAAGAAAGTGCTGAAGGTCAGAAAAATCAACCAAGCAGCTAATTAATTTTTTCTTGCATTGCCATCAGCTTGCACAACAAGTTTCAATGATTTTTGCAATGCAGGACCATGAACAAGCACTCACTGATGCCATTGCGAGGATTGCTGATATTTCGGATGGTGAAAGTGGTACAAATCTGCTCAAAGCCTTTTTACTTTTGGTTCAGCAATGCATCAATTAATTCTTTAACGATTTAGTCTCCCATGTCAGCTATATGCAATTTGTTCAAAATTATCAAGGCATTTTCGGTGTCTTGTGGAAAATTCAGTTATTTTGCTTGATATTCCCTGGCATTTCATGGAAAATTCCATCCCTCAGAAAGGATCTGTCTCGTTGTATTAACATATCTAAAAAGTAAATATTGTTGTAATGCGAGCATGTGTGCTTATTTCAAGCCAGTAGAATACGGGAGAGGCCTTTTTTAATTTTTTTTTAGTTCTGACAAATATGCTTTTAGATATTAGTGTAGTTGAGTACCCTAATTTGCATTCTATAAGTTGATTATCTTGGCTTGTCCGTGCTTGTGTCCACACGCACAAGTACGTTCAAGCCCTCTAGAAAGTTGATCTGAAAGTACCTTTTCAACTGATCCCATTCTAATTATGGTAATTCTTGTGCTTTGATGTAGATGAAGGTGGCCATTTCCTGCATGGCAAATGAGTTGACAGACAATGATGAGGCGAGGTTTTGTGATGGGTAGTAGAAAAGCTAACTTTGGCAAAGGAATTGGGGAGATGTAGTTGACATTCAAATGGAACTGAGGGCATGGATGTTTTTATCTGATGATTTGGTAAGTCTGTCGAATGTAACATTTGTTTCTAGGGTTTCGTTGTACATTATCATTTTTTAAATTATGCTTTCCCTACCGTTGAATTATTGTAGTCTTGGGTCACTTAGCGTCATAGGGTAGGGCAGATTTATAGCGAGGCTGATATATTTTTTTTTATTAACAGGTTGATGTTTGTGTAAAATTATTTGAGTAGCCATATTAACCTGTTATGATCATGTACAAAGTTTTTCTTTACCGCTTCACTTTGACTTGTGTTATTTTTGTTCTGTTATATAATTTTAGAAGACAGGTATCCTTATCGACGTGTGCGTGGACTGGAGAGGAGTTGAAAACTAAATAAATTAGCAGAAATATATGCTTCTGGTTATTCAGTGCACTAGGTTCTGTCGTATTTAGTTTTTCTTTTTATAGTCACTTCTTACAACGTTTAAACCTAAGCAGGAAGAGTATCGCCGATTAGTTTTAGTTGTCGGAGAAGGTGTTGGTATTTGGTGGGTAGAGAAACTGTTCATTGTCTTTGATTTCATCGTTGAACAATGGTGAAAAGAAGTGTTGATGGAAGTCGTTTCAACCTCTCTTTGAACCTCCAGTGTCCCTTCAAGGTTGTATTAACTGAATTGAGGAACCACTTCCTTACTTTAATAGGAATGTTAACATAATCCTTGTTGATCCCAAAAGTTGTTCACCATGATGTATGAAGTTGAACGACAAAGGGACTTCGACAATCGACCTTCCGATGGTAAGTTCAAAAAGAAGAGTAATGATATGTATTTTAAATTTGTAACTTAAATTTATATTTTAAATTAAAGAGGACTATTATATCAATGGGTCTTATTTAAAAAGGTTGATGGGATTCACTGATCCACTGATTTTTTTTATTTGGAATGTAAATTTGGGTTACAAATTTGGGATAAATAGCACTACTCCAGAGAGAATAATGGAGAAAAATTATATTTATTTAAGAATGAATTGCTTACCTAAATGATGTACAACTAGACTCTTTCATAGGTCATATGATTTATTGTTAGAAGGTTTTCAACAATTATTTGAATGAAGTGGTACTAGAAGTAGAACATAAATTAGCATTTTTTAGCGTGGATATTTCAACTGATTTGAATTAGTCGAGACGAGTTGAACTGCCGAATTAGAGTGTTGACGAGCAAGGAGCAAAGGTCCTTATTGAAACTCTCACCTTATCAAGCTGCAGAGCTCATGAGCCAACCTCGTGCCTACTTTACTATTATCAATTCTTATCGTCGCATTCAATTAAAGAATAGTTTTGAAATTCTTACTAAACACATTAGTGAAAATTTGCAGCATTTATATTTAAATATTCATTTATTTAAAGAGAGATGTGGATATAGATTAATAGAATTATTTGTCATTAGGTGAGAATTTTTATTTTTGAAATAAAATTTATATCGTTAAATAAAATTAGATAAAAATTAAATCAATTTCAACTTTTGTTGTATTTTTATAAATGTACCATTCAAATTGTTAGTTAAAATATTATATAAATGGTATGTTGCATAAGCTTTTTTCTAACATGTGATATAATTATTTAGTAACGAATTATCATATAAATCAACAAACCTTTCATATTCGGTAATTATTTAATTATAAACCAACAAACCTTTTGTATTCCGTAATTATTTGATATTGTGCTTGTGTAGTGTTTATCATTACGTAAAGATATCACATATTATTAAGAGGGATTTGGAGGCCGGTCCAGTAGAATTCCACAAAAAGCACACTCGGTATTTTTCTTTTAATTTAAGTTTTTGTTGAAAAGTCAAAATAATAGACATAACTAACGTCATTTATAATCATAAAAAATAACTACAATGTCATCACCTAATTTAAACACATGTTTTAAAAAACTACATCAGCATAATATACATCTTTTTCCATAAACACAAATCATTATACAGGTACACTAAAAAAATATATACACAATTAAATGAATAAATATATATATATATATATTTTCGAGCCAAAAAATAACAGGTACTTAATAAAAAAAATAACATGTACGCAATAATCGTTAGACAGGTGCATATACAAATCGTTAATGTACTTTCTTTTCAATAAATATAGATCGTCAGATAGATCACACGTCATCATAATGTCCAAATTGTTTGGTTTACGAGTTTGAATTTCAAAACTCATAGGCAATACCGCAAAAACCTCAACAATAAATGCCAAAAAAAAAAAAAATCAACTATATTTTAAGTTAAAACCACGTGATTAGGCCAAAATAGGTAATGAAAATAAGGAATTAATCAATCCCTCAACATTCGCACCAAAGCAGGGTTTGGACAGCATGCAAGTTTTTTCAAAAATCAAAGAACTTTTTTTACACTAAAAATTCGGTAAGGCTAAAATTAATTTTCACATTAAATGAGTCAGCCTAATTTATTATATTAATAATCATATATTATTACTGTTACAATGAATATTTACTCGTATGGGTGTCACCTGCTGGCCCAACATTACAGTCACGTGCCTCCCATGAAACTGGATTGAATTATATGCTACGACGTTGTTTCAATCTGTCTTCTCTTTTGGACAGGCCAAAAGTTATTGGATTCAATTGGGCCCAATATATTACGGGCTGTACAACAATGTAGACATTTCGTGACATAGGGCCCAATAAGCGCGGTCTCGAATCCTAATTATAAAGCAAATTTAAATCTCAGGTTTGAGTTCCCGGAAACCGCCTCAGCGCGACATCGTCCTCAGCCAAACCCTAGGGTTTTACTGGCCTGTCTATTGTTTGCTCCTTTTGAAATTATAATTTCATTCGTCAGTATATATGAACACGCGCGCGCGCGCATATATTCACTTTGATTTCATAGATTTTTTGGAGTTGGTGTGTGGAGTTGTGGGTTTGAATCTGGTGTGGTGATGGAGTTTGGGAAGAAGAGAGACAGACCACATGGTGCCTTTGCCGTCAATGGAGGCTTCAAGAAATCAAAGGACGGTTAGTCTCACCTCTATATACAACTATTTGACATTGATGATATTGATTGATTTGAAGTTGTCCACTTACACACACACACAGATCCCAGCGATTCGGGTCAGCTCTATGAATCTGGTTATGTGATATGCTTGTTTGCATCTGATTTAAAAAGATGGAAAAAAAAATTTCTTGTTTTCTGAAGAGTATAAACAGTGAATCAATATATGGAATTCGCCTCATACTATTCCGAAAAGTCGTGTCTAGGTAGTTGGACAAGAGTTCTGGGATTGAATATTACCATTCAGATTGAAAAGAATTTGGCCAGGATAGGCATTCCCTTCCCCTGGTTGAGTTACCCAATCATTGGATGTAATAAACAAGTAAAGCCCAAAAAATGGGATTAGACAACCGCAAGGGGTAGCTGAGGTGGTAACAGCTATCGTTAATTCAGATCTCTTTAAAAAAATTATCCTCGTGAATATCCTAATTCTCCGATCCCCGGCCTTTGACCGGACCGGGGAAGGAAATAGTCGAGGTGGCCATAAAAAAAAAATGGGATTAGACAAAGAAGTGACAGTAGTGTTTCTGACTATTCCAAAATGTAGAATGCTCTTTCTTGGCCAAGTTTGGGGGTGGAGTTTGAATTGTTGTGGTTTGGACATCTTTGTTTTGCTGGACGAGAGATCAGTATAGAAATAGATGCGGCAAAATTTGATGATGTGCTTTGAAGAATATATTTTCTTGATTCTTCGCTGCACTATATACCAAAGTTAAGAAGTTATTTATATTTATATACCTTATTTTTGCTGAATTTATTATATTTCTATGGATGGGTGATTTTCGATGTTGTTGTCATTAATAATTAATAACGTCGTGAATCCTGGATTAATGTTTTTGCAACAGATACAACCGGTGTAGGAAGCAAATCAAAGCCATGCTCGAAGTTTTTCAGGTTATAATCTTAACCCATCCGAGATAAATAATTCTCAATTTAAGACCTTTATCATGGAAATCTAGCCTTTAAATATTTTTTGTTTTACTAGCAACCACAGTCATCTAAGTTTTCTAGTTGAAAACAGTTCAATATAACGAATGATACTATAGGTCATTGAAAAACCGTTGTCGGGTAATGTAACTCTTTTTCATTGTGATTTACATTTATGCCTTTATCTCGGAAAATCGTCATATCTATATCCTTGTGAATAATTGACACGCTGCATTGTTTGGGTTATTATCTGAAATATATTTAATTCCAGCAGTTTTCTCAATTTAATTAATAATAAGGGATCATGAGGGGATCCATAGATATCAAGATTTTTGGCCTGGTGGTTCAATGTATTTGCACAATCAATTTCTCATGGCCCCCTGAGATCTGGTCTAACCTGTTGATAAAAACTCATATCTATATGCCTGTTTATCAGTTAGCCTATCATAAGGTTAATTCCTAGTAGTCACTTTTTACAAATGGAGTTTAACTGAGGTTTCAAAATTTAGTCTTTCAATGTGTACAATACAGATATATTTGGATTTTATTTAGTAATTGAAAATTTTGTATTTCCATTGTTACAAATTAATTGATTATCGAAAGCTGTATGACAGTGAATATCAGTTCCTTATAAAAGGTATTTCCAAGAAGAAAGAGTAACTAAGCCAGTTGGTGTAATTCGTATTCTTTGTGTTTTCCAGTCCATTTTCAGTTGTGAGGGCACTACCTTTTCTTGGCTGTATGGTTTGTTTTCAGCGTGTACATACCGCATACTTAGCAGAATCTACTTTGTTCAATAAATGGAAAGAAAAATGTTTCTGATTGACTTCTAAATGTTTTTAAATGCACAAATCTGATAACTTATAATAAAATTTTAAGAGTTTGGAAATTTCTTTCTGTCCTGTGTCATCTTTGTTCCTCCGGATCTGCTGTGTTATGTATGCATGCTGACTGATATTATTATCCTTAGAGCCCACTTCACTGTCAATGTAATTCTTTTACTGATGTCTGTGTGATATTCAATGGTGTTTCTCATACGTTCTTTTGCTGATGAGTGATGCAGCACTTCTGGATACCAATTTGGTGAGGGATGTCACTTCCTGCATTATATTCCGGGTGGCTATAGTGCAGTTAGTCAGATGACAAACATGGGCGGTCCTGTTAGAAGAAATGCCATGGCTGCGACACCCTTTACTGATGGTCCTGCATCCACCAAGACCAAACTCTGCAACAAGGTTAATACTCCAGAAGGATGTAAATTTGGAGACAAATGCCACTTTGCACATAGCCAGATGGAGCTTGGCAAACCATCTTTCCCAGGGTTTGAATATCCCCGAGCAATGGATCAATGGTCAGCAGGTTTCCTGGGCGGGTTGAAGCATCCCCACCTAGCCTACCTGCTGCAGCTAACTTCGGTTCGTCAGCTACAGCCAAGATCAGCATAGATGCATCTTTGGCTGGAGCCATTTTTGGAAAGGGTGGTGTGAACTCAAAGCAAATTTGTCGCATTACTGGTGTCAAGTTTTCTATAAAGGAACATGAAACTGATCCAAATCAAAGGAATATTGAGCTTGAAGGAACCTTTGATCAGATCAAACATGCTAGTAGTATGGTGCGTGAGCTCATCGAGAACATTGGTGCTGCCACCGGTCCTTCAAAAATCCCTTCTGGATTGCCCGCTCGTGCTCCTCCAGCTAGCAATTATAAGACCAAGATGTGTGAACGTTTTGCAAAGGGCACGTGCACTTTTGGGGAAAGGTGTCATTTTGCTCATGGAGTCGGAGAATGGATGCAACTTTCTGGGAGAAAAGAAATGTCGACACTGCTGTATTAGAGATCACCAGGCACTTGAACTATGTAGCTTTTGAGCTACATTTTCCTCAGCAGTAGTAATGTAACATTTTTAAAGCTTGTCAAGATGCAATTGTTAGGTTGTCCTTGAGCTGAACAGCCCAAGCATGGCTTGGTGATCCAGCCTGCAGTTTGCTTTCCTCTCCTATGATTTTCCAAATTCTGTCTTTCGTTTGAGAACATTCTTGTTTGTGTTACTAACAATCTATTTTTTCTTTAGTACTTTTAAAATGTCTGTTATTTTTTGAATTTTTCCCAATATTTTAGTCACCAACTGAAGCTAGTTGTCAATGTGTAAAGATCATTTCGACATCAAAAACAACAACAATAATAGTGGATCTGAAATTGTAACATCCCCATTGTTCTATCTCCGATTCATCACTACAACATGCAGCTGATAATGGAGAGATACATAGAAAGTACATAACGGAGAGATATATAGAAAGTGTGTAGTGAGGAATCTTTCTAGGTTTCCAAAATGTACTATATTCGAAATTCTGAAGGCTTTACATCATCCTCGAAGCTTATACCTTGGCTTACACTTGGGCCGTGGAAAACAATGGTTCTAATAAAACAGATTGCCAGTATCACTATTTCCCCTTCTACTAGAAACACTCTAACTCATTAGACACACTGGAAACTGTAAATCCATCCAAGGTTACTACAACAGACAACAGATCCAAATATGATGATCCGATAATATATGCATTTTTTTCCTCAAACAAAAATCAGATTATCGGTTGAGCTCTAATTCTAATCAATCCAGCCATCCCTGAAAGCTATTATGGTCCAAACTACCATATAGCATTACAAATGAGGAGAAGTATCTGACTTTTTAATACCAAGGAAATTTGGTTGCCCAATGAAATCGAATATCATAGATAGTGAATTTTTTCAATTTGGAAATTCATGCCCTTGTTATTTTACCAAGCGCCTCCTCCAACTTCCACTTGCCCTCTCAAATACCCGGGGCTGCCTCAAAGGAAAGGCTTCTCTCCAGTCTGGGTGTTGAAACAAATAGTCCCACTTCCTGAAGAAAGGAACAAGTATAAATTAGGTCTTCAAGGCAGACGGGGTATTATGCTTAAAATTTTTGAAGCTGGAAATTATTTTGCTGTATTCAAACCCCAAGAGTAAAGTAAACACAAATACTTGTATGCATCAAAAACCCCAGGTTTGGTAGGGTAAATGCATTAAAAAGGGACAACTTTTAGCCGATGGCACTGCTACGAAATACTACATTTAGAAGCCCATTTACTCCACAATTTAGACAAAAATGGAATTGTGATGATGGGATATTGGGTAGAGATGGTGAAAGAATCTTCCTATGCCGTAGGTAAATTAACACCCCAAATGGTGAAAGAATATTTGTATGGCCCGGAACATAGATTGTTACGAGCCATACTTGGCATTCTGGTATCTACTTCCAAAGAAACTTGTCTAAAACTACCTTATATTCATGCCATTTCCAAATAAGATTAGTATAAGCAATACATGTAATTTAGTCAGATTGGATACTAGGATAATCCAATAAAATAACTGGATTTACTGGAGTAAGAAGCATCCTCAGTGCAAGGCCCTGTACTGACCAACCAATATTAACAACTTATGGGACAATATGGGGTGTCTAGTCAACTAATGCAACAAAAGACGTTGGTTTATTTTGGTCTCCCACTATGTTAAGTGTTTACAGTACTCTGGGATCTCCCTCTCTCTATCACACTGGTCTTTCTCTCTCAACCAGTTGCTAGATCAAAATCTTACTTTACACGATCTCCTAACCATCAACCTCAGTCCTTGTTCTCTTCCATTACCCCCTCCATTCTCTACATTCTAAAAAATGTGTCACGAATTGTAGTGTGGAAAGCGGGGAAGTGGTGAGAGAAATATAGAGACAACTATGGAAATTCAAATGGGACTTCTTAGTTGCGAGTGGTTAGTTGAGAGAGACACCAAACTACCGAATTTTGCTCTAGCTTAATACATGGTAATAACTTGTATCCCACGAATGGAACTTAAAGGTTCCAATATTATGCTTCGTATATCATCTCATTCATCAATGATTTATCAGTTATTGTAATGTTATCAATCGTGGAATTTAGAATCCTACAATTCTCAGATCCTGATAACATCAGCAATAGATAATACTGTGAGATGCTAGCTAATGTCCTACAGCTCAGACACTCCAGATTATGATCCTTGGTGTTGAAAATGAGAAACCAAGAAATATATTACTGTAGGCGTAGGGCTAGGGAAATTCCACATCAATGACAGACCTTCTTTCATTATCCACAAAATCTGGGCTCTCAGCTGAAGGTGAAGTAGAACATGTAAGGAGAATTTCTGGATCAGAAAGGTTTTGCAGTGTCACAGCAATCTGTAATTGACGTATGGTCCTATGATCAGTAGAAAAAAACAGTAAATCTAAGTAGTAGAGGGATGTAAATAGGAATAAACTAACAAAGAAAAAAAGAAAAATTTTCAGAAAAGAACACGAAAATGAGCAGCAATAAAACTGCCAATATGAGTAGAAGTGAGCATAATTGAATTTTTGTGGGATTTCTTTGGACTTGTTTCGGTGATAGTGCACATATCAGACCAATGACACACAGACAAACAAAAAAAAAAGGTGAGGTAACATTTTTACCATGTGCATGGAGCAATGACAAATCGGTCTGTCTGAGTATCATATGTCTCTAGTAACCTTCCAGTCCAATGGGGGTCCTCAAAACATACAGTCACCCGGATCCTCCTAACAATTTCATCTGGACATCTAGAAGTTCTGTCAAAGCTGGCTGGGAATACTGATCCAGTAGAGGTTTCCACCTGAGGAAAAAGTGCAAATAAAAAAGATCAGTACCTTAAGAGATATAATAAGAGATTCAGCTAAATACATGAATGCAAAAAGTAGAGAGTCCTAATATCATGTCCCCACTCCCCTATACAATTAAAACCAGATTTCACTTGATGAAGTATAGATTGCAAGTCTAATAGCAAAAAGCTTTTTCTGATACAGACGCAGGCGCAATGCATGATACTGGCCATAACCTTTTTCATGTTGACAAAAGCTCCAGGCTCGCATCTATTCCTCAAAGTAGCTTATACCATTATTCTAAACATCAGTTAAATTTTTTCTTAATGGCCACATTCCAAATGTTGGTTCCATAACTTCCAAAGCACAATGATGATACTTATGGGATTGCTAGAGACAAGTGTGGCAGTGTCACCAGAATCGCAGATGACACTACAAAAGGAATTGAGACTAAGACATCCTAAGCACATGAGGCTTCTACTGTGCTTTTAATCAGAAGGGCATATAGGTCATTAAGGATATAAACTATGGCAGCAACTGGTGCTGTAGTTGCAACGATGTTGACATAATTAATACATGTGGGGACCTCCCAATATCTTTCTACATAGAGCTCCCACCAGGGTTGAAATGTGGCTTCTCAAAGATAGCAGATTAAAATAAATATCCCCTCAAACCAGAGAAGACTAAGCCAGTTGCCATAATAATAATAAAAAAAAAACCCATAAATCCTACTATTGACTTTTAAGGTGCAAAATTCGTCACTTCAATCGCTGACAAATTCAGCCTCACCTTCACCAAAGAATTTTTCATTTTGCTCTCTTCAAGTCTAGTTGAATCCCTAGCCCAAACCCTTTTTCATTAAATATCATCTGATGAACCATTTTTTATATATTTCCCCGGATAAAAAAATGTTTGACCTAGACAACAAAAAATCAAGTTCAACAACTATATTTCAACCGCACTTCACATATATCTCAACACTGCTTAGTTGTTTAATAAGGAATTCAAGCTCCTGACTCACGAGAACGGCCTGCAAAAACCACAAAGAATTTTGTCTTGGGATCCACTTTACTGGCAACTGATGATTTATCAAGACAGATCATAGGTCAAAAATATACAAACAAACGTATACATTTAATTATCCTCCTAATAATCAATAATATAGTAGAAATTCTTTGAAAACTACCGGTAATTAACAAATAGGATTACAAATTATCCAGCCGAACAATATATTAGTAACCTAGAGAAACAATTATCAGAGGGCTGGTCCTGGTGGATTTTTGCTCCACCAGAGACTTCACAACAAGAAGATACTAAGTTATAATCCCGAACACTGAAGTGCTCTAAAATATTGTAAATCCTTTTTGAACATTGATATCATCAATCCCACCAGTAAATTATCAAAATAACAAGTTTGATCTGCAGAATCTTGAGAGCGAGACTGAGAGTAACTCTTTACAGTTTATTTAGACGCTAAGAAATAGGATGACTTTTGTTTGGCTAATAGGTCAATGAAATCAGGTGTACAATGTTTTCTTTTTACAAATAGTTAATGGAACAAGACAGACAATTATGGTAAGCGAATTAGTTAGAAGTCTAAAAGGTTTGACTATATATATCAGATGGATAAAAAAAAG